GTATCTTACTGGATATCTAACTACGACTTTCTTCCCTTACGGAACTAATACTCTCATACCGGATTGCATTTAATTTCTGTGACTAGTTTATCAATAAAAGTATGGACTCGCTATTTTGGAAAGGAGATACAAACAATCGGTAAAATAGTGCTCAACATATTACTGACTACTTGCTATAACTTTTTCCCAGAATCTCTACGGAAATGACTATTTATCATCCAGCAGTAATGAGAGAGATACACATCGGTTCAGGTTGCCATACCGCATTAACACAGAGACGCAACTGTCAGTTCAAATCCAACAAGTCTACTGCACAGCAGTTCTCCCCGTTCTACTATATTGCTGTGAAACATGGCCAGTAAGAGCAGAGGATATTCGTAGGCCATAAGCATTCGCTCATAGGTATCGTCGATGCATTGCTGGTACATCTTGGGACTATTGACTAAGCGATAAAGTTGTTAGGAAACGAGTACTAGGTAAGGATGGCAGATCCATAGATGAAGTATCGAAATCTCATCAGTTGAGATGGTTGGGAATGTGTTACGTATTTCGAACCACCCACTGCCTAGAAGATCGATGTTCTGTGGTGAAGGAGCAGGCTGAAAGAAAGCTACGAGTGATGAAAACAAAATATGGCACAAATCCATGAAGTCACTGACAGCTGGACTGAATCATGTTCGTAGGTGTACACTACCTGGTTGGGGTACACGAGATGATAATAAACGATGGATAGAGATCTGGAATAACATGGCTTGAAATCGTTTGCAATGGCGATGGTGCATCCACCCTTTGTGTTCTCTCAAATTCTAATCTTCTGAATCCCTCATGATGTTTTCCCTGTTTTTAAAATTTAATTCACTGAATTATACTTCTCGAGTCATATCTTCGAATCGTTTTCTATTACCACTAATACTTCTACTACCAACACTACTATGGGATTTGAATTGACAATCCCATCCTTCTGTGTTAATGTGGTATGGCGACTCAAACTGGTGTATGTACAAAGTTCTATGTTGTAACTGACTGACTGGCACTATAATTGTACTTCTGTCATAATTCTAAGTAATGTTATCTAGAAGTAAAATCAACCTCTAAAATTCTCGAGGAAAAATAAGCATAGTTTATACCTAAAATATAAATGACTTAAGGATATATTTCCTTAATAGGTCGTTCCAGAGTGGTCGGAAACACTCTTGCTGTTCAAAAGCACAATTATTTTTGACCTACAATATATGTAGTGAAGTTGAAGCATTTAGCGAAAATTGTAGATGTAGTCGATGCACATTGGACTTGCGTTCCCTATATATCAATCAGATTTTTTGTGCAATTTTTTCAATGTGATGGAAGCCGCTATTTTGGATGTAGCTGGTAGTAGATTTATACAATGATGATTTCCGTATACACTAAGTAAATTCTTTTTCAAGTTATGAAGACCAAAATATTCATACGAGAGTGATGAAACATATATCTTTTTCAAAATTCCAGTTGGTTTTCTTAGTAAATAATTAATCAACAAACACTAGTGTGTGAGTGAAATTAACTGATCACATTTACGATACAAAACAGACTACTTGAAAGTAAAAGAGTAAAGAAATAAAAATTGAGTTAATTAGAGATATTAATACGCTTAAACATGTTTATAATAAACGACTGGTAAAACCGACAGAATATAGGATGGATGTGATATAATAATTCAATTCATTAAACAATTGCAGGTTGGGCTATACATAACCTGAACTTTTTAAATTTATTTAACCAAGTAATTTTTTGGTAAAAAAAAGGGCGCCTACATATTTATGCACTGCACAAATCAATGAATCTCTATTTACCGGGATAATCTCAAGGTGACTTAACTGAGGCAAGTGGTTTCCTTACACGGTCACTACTCAAGCTCTTAACCTAAAGGTCCAATTCACAAGGCAGTGGAGCAACGCAATGAGATGCAGTACCATGGTAGCTAATAACAGATTCATACATCACTTATCCCCTGTATACCGCTCATTTGGAATCAGGGTTTTCTAACTCATCTAGGTCGACCCTTTGTATCCACCGACCCGGTCCAGGCGCCGGATATTCACTATCCATTCTCTCAATTTCGAGAACACTCCGCCACGAGAATGCAGTGAGTGGGACTTCCCTGGCAGTGGCTGTACACGCTTGATAATATTAGAGTAATTTGAGAGGGGAACTATGTTCATACCTATAGACAGGTAGTTGAATTTCGAACATCTCAGTAGTAACTAAATATTTATCCCATAATTATACAACTGAATATCCGTTCACGACATGGATGAGATAATGCAGCTGGACAACTACCGTTGAAATGTTTTCTAAAAACCTTTTTTCAGCTTAGGTGGCCACCGTAAATTTTTTTGCGTATAGAGTTACAATTATATAGATAAAAATCCATATAAGTTTCTATAGTCAATTCTTATTAAATTAGTTTCAAAATAACTTGACTCAGTCTTTTCTCCTTCAATATGATTTAATCATAATTTAGAAGTAATCTCTAGAAGGAGAATTACTTCAGTCAGCGTTAATTACTTTTAATTTCACTGGCGCGAACTCTGATTGTGATTAGGATGTTACTCAGAAAAAATTCACTAATTAAAGACAAATTAATATTTTGGCTACGTAGAAACAGCTCTTACTTGATTTAAACTTCCAAGTTTTGAGTCTTTGAATGCGTTTAGCATACTTCGAAGTGCTCCATTCTCTGTTGTATCAGGTGCGACTAAATGATGTGCATCTCCTATAAACGAAAATAAATTTTTAGAAAAAAATAATAGAACCCGTATCCTATGAACAATGATAAGTTTATAACTACGACATACAGGTAGATAATAGTACCAAATCAGTCCTAATTTTAAGCACTGTCATCAGTTTTAACTTGCGTGAATTTGATTCAACAGCCGTTTCGTATCTGTGAGAACTAGTACTAGCCAGCAATTTGATAAGCTATATTCCATAAGCGTAAATGTCAAAAAGATTGCTCATTTGATAGATTAAACTAAGGATCTTCTATGTTTGGATTCCTTGAAAAACTGGTGGTGAGTTAATGATTTAAGAACTCGGTTTGCCACCAGCAAGCTGCAAATTCATACCCTTTTTGTCTAGTTTGATTAAGACAGTCCAATAGTACCACTAGCCAATACAAGAATTGTGGCGGAAATTCGACTACACAAACGTGTATTTGGTAATTTAGTTACGTGTATTTGGATTTCCGTCTCCAGCGGTAAGGGCTTTAAAAAGAGCGGAGTTAATACTCAAAAAACCTTTCATAAAAATGAGTGCGTGACCGGCCTCAAGCAGTTATCTCTTGCACTCTGTGGTCACGCTCCCAGGTCTATAAGACCAACTCTAATCTACCCTCCTTTTCAGGTTCCTCGAAAAACACCCTTCCACGGTATGAGCAGCCGGGAAGTGACAACCGCCCACGAGATCGAAGTGGTCAAAATCAAATCCTTACTACACCCCCTAATGTCTCTCTTATCTCCACAACTAACTCTTCTCATACTCCTTTATCACACTGCACCGCTAATTCAAACGATGCGAGTTCACGAAACGTCATTCCTGGTCTCTTGAAACCCCGTTCTAGACTACAGGTTGGAGCTTTTAATGTACGGACATGGTGTCAAATAGGGCAACAGGCTTCATCAACTAGGACTTTAGAATCTTGAACCATCGATGTATGCTGCGTCTCGGAAACGCGCATACAGGATACGAGTAGCATCATTCACTTGACCTAACCATGTCAAGATAAAGCAACTCCATTTACCCTTCGTGTATCTGGAAGCCCTGATGCTGCTTCCAGGGGTCCCGCTGGTGTAGGTATAGCATTGAGTCACAGGGCAGAACTAGTTCTCCTAGACTGGATCCCTGTAGATAGTCGCCTGTGCGCCGTCCGACTAAACGGGAGAGCAAGGATTCGGAAGGATAGGGACACTCGTCGTTGCCTCTTCGTCGTATCTGCCTATCCCCCCACTGACTGCAGTTCAAACGAGGTTAAAGATAAGTTTTACAGAAAGCTTTCGGACCTCCTCCAAAAAGTTAGGCGCTCTGATAAAGTAATAATAACTGGTGACTTCAATGTTCAAGTAGGTAGACTCAGTGAAAATGAAAGACATCTAGGTGGATGTTATGGTATCGCTGTTCAGAGAACAGGTTATGACAACCGTCTGTTGCGACTATGCTCAGGTAACCGCCTATTTCTAGGAAACACTAACTTTTGACTTGGCGACCCCCCGAAGTCGTCTCAACGTTGGACGCAACTAGATCACATGGCCATCAGACACCGATGGAGGGGCTCGATAGAGGACTGTCGCTCATTCCGGGGTACATGTTTAGATCCAGATAATGCTCTAGTGCGAGTGCGTATTTGTTTGCGATTTGCCGGACGTAGGAAAGACACCTCAAGGAAACCTCTGAGTGTTCTAACTAATAATAGCAGAGCTATGAATATATTTCAGGAATAACTAGTGTTACGGGAAAAATGAAGACATTTGACTGATAAAAACATTTATATGAATATCATTAACTTCACTGTTTCTTGGGCATATTTGTTCGACTTAACTTATGAACCTGGTTGATTTATTTTCGAACATTTTGGTTCCTGTTTGTCTTGGGTTGCTAATTGGGAGTTTTTGCTCCAGGGACCTATAAAATTGAAGGTTTTTGTAGTTATTATAATTATTGTTGTTAGAACGACATTTCGGTCGACTATTTGTGAATTGCGAATGAACTTTGGTACCTAACTTTGGAGTTTGGGTCTGTTGTTAATTTGGGTTCGTGAATTGCAAATTGATCGACATACTGTACTTCAATAACGGGAAGGAGCAAAACTTGGACGTAACAAAAGTTCTTCAATTTTAATTCTGTTGTCATATATTGGATACGTCTGGACATTTTGGGTCCAAATTTTGGTCTTATTGGTCGAATTCGTTTGATTAATTCACATTTGCTTGGTAACCGATTTTCGAACAAAGGCATACTCTGCTATTATTAGTTAGAACACTCAGAGGTTTCCTTGAGGTGTCTTTCCTACGTCCGGCAAATCGCAAACAAATACGCACTCGCACTAGAGCATTATCTGGATCTAAACATGTACCCCGGAATGAGCGACAGTCCTCTATCGAGCCCCTCCATCGGTGTCTGATGGCCATGTGATCTAGTTGCGTCCAACGTTGAGACGACTTCGGGGGGTCGCCAAGTCAAAAGTTAGTGTTTCCTAGAAATAGGCGGTTACCTGAGCATAGTCGCAACAGACGGTTGTCATAACCTGTTCTCTGAACAGCGATACCATAACATCCACCTAGATGTCTTTCATTTTCACTGAGTCTACCTACTTGAACATTGAAGTCACCAGCCATTATTACTTTATCAGAGCGCCTAACTTTTTGGAGGAGGTCCGAAAGCTTTCTGTAAAACTTATCTTTAACCTCGTTTGAACTGCAGTCAGTGGGGGGATAGGTAGATACGACGAAGAGGCAACGACGAGTGTCCCTATCCTTCCGAATCCTTGCTCTCCCGTTTAGTCGGACGGCGTACAGGCGACTATCTACAGGGATCCAGTCTAGGAGAACTAGTTCTGCCCTGTGACTCAATGCTATACCTACACCAGCGGGACCCCTGGAAGCAGCATCAGGGCTTCCAGATACACGAAGGGTAAATGGAGTTGCTTTATCTTGACATGGTTAGGTCAAGTGAATGATGCTACTCGTATCCTGTATGCGCGTTTCCGAGACGCAGCATACATCGATGGTTCAAGATTCTAAAGTCCTAGTTGATGAAGCCTGTTGCCCTATTTGACACCATGTCCGTACATTAAAAGCTCCAACCTGTAGTCTAGAACGGGGTTTCAAGAGACCAGGAATGACGTTTCGTGAACTCGCATCGTTTGAATTAGCGGTGCAGTGTGATAAAGGAGTATGAGAAGAGTTAGTTGTGGAGATAAGAGAGACATTAGGGGGTGTAGTAAGGATTTGATTTTGACCACTTTGATCTCGTGGGCGGTTGACACTTCCCGGCTGCTCATACCGTGGAAGGGTGTTTTTCGAGGAACCTGAAAAGGAGGGTAGATTAGAGTTGGTCTTATAGACCTGGGAGCGTGACCACAGAGTGCAAGAGATAACTGCTTGAGGCCGGTCACGCACTCATTTTTATGAAAGGTTTTTTGAGTATTAACTCCGCTCTTTTTAAAGCCCTTACCGCTGGAGACGGAAATCCAAATACACGTAACTAATTTACCAAATACACGCTTGTGTAGTCGAATTTCCGCCACAATTCTTGTATTGGCTAGTGGTACTATTGGACTGTCTTAATCAAACTAGACAAAAAGGGTATGAATTTGCAGCTTGCTGGTGGCAAACCGAGTTCTTAAATCATTAACCCACCACCAGTTTTTCAAGGAATCCAAACATAGAAGATCCTTAGTTTAATCTATCAAATGAGCAATCTTTTTGACATTTACGCTTATGGAATATAGCTTATCAAATTGCTGGCTAGTACTAGTTCTCACAGATACGAAACGGCTGTTGAATCAAATTCACGCAAGTTAAAACTGATGACAGTGCTTAAAATTAGGACTGATTTGGTACTATTATCTACCTGTATGTCGTAGTTATAAACTTATCATTGTTCATAGGATACGGGTTCTATTATTTTTTTCTAAAAATTTATTTTCGTTTATAGGAGATGCACATCATTTAGTCGCACCTGATACAACAGGGAATGGAGCACTTCGAAGTATGCTAAACGCATTCAAAGACTCAAAACTTGGAAGTTTAAATCAAGTAAGAGCTGTTTCTACGTAGCCAAAATATTAATTTGTCTTTAATTAGTGAATTTTTTCTGAGTAACATCCTAATCACAATCAGAGTTCGCGCCAGTGAAATTAAAAGTAATTAACGCTGACTGAAGTAATTCTCCTTCTAGAGATTACTTCTAAATTATGATTAAATCATATTGAAGGAGAAAAGACTGAGTCAAGTTATTTTGAAACTAATTTAATAAGAATTGACTATAGAAACTTATATGGATTTTTATCTATATAATTGTAACTCTATACGCAAAAAAATTTACGGTGGCCACCTAAGCTGAAAAAAGGTTTTTAGAAAACATTTCAACGGTAGTTGTCCAGCTGCATTATCTCATCCATGTCGTGAACGGATATTCAGTTGTATAATTATGGGATAAATATTTAGTTACTACTGAGATGTTCGAAATTCAACTACCTGTCTATAGGTATGAACATAGTTCCCCTCTCAAATTACTCTAATATTATCAAGCGTGTACAGCCACTGCCAGGGAAGTCCCACTCACTGCATTCTCGTGGCGGAGTGTTCTCGAAATTGAGAGAATGGATAGTGAATATCCGGCGCCTAGACCGGGTCGGTGGATACAAAGGGTCGACCTAGATGAGTTAGAAAACCCTGATTCCAAATGAGCGGTATACAGGGGATAAGTGATGTATGAATCTATTATTAGCTACCATGGTACTGTATCTCATTGCGTTGCTCCACGGCCTTGTGAATTGGACCCTTAGGTCAAGAGCTTGAGGAGTGACCGTGTAAGGAAACCACTTGCCTCAGTTAAGTCACCTTGAGATTATCCCGGTAGACAGAGATTCATTGATTTGTGCAGTGCATAAATATGTAGGCGCCCTTTTTTTACCAAAAAATTATTTGGTTAAATAAATTTAAAAAGTTCAGGTTTTGTATAGCCCAACCTGCAATTGTTTAATGAATTGAATTATTATATCACATCCATCCTATATTCTGTCGGTTTTACCAGTCGTTTATTATAAACATGTTTAAGCGTATTAATATCTCTAATTAACTCAATTTTTATTTCTTTACTCTTTTACTTTCAAGTAGTCTGTTTTGTATCGTAAATGTGATCAGTTAATTTCACTCGCACACTAGTGTTTGTTGATTAATTATTTACTAAGAAAACCAACTGGAATTTTGAAAAAGATATATGTTTCATCACTCTCGTATCAATATTTTGGTCTTCATAACTTGAAAAAGAATTTACTTAGTGTATACGGAAATCATCATTGTATAAATCTACTACCAGCTACATCCAAAATAGCGGCTTCCATCACATTGAAAAAATTGCACAAAAAATCTGATTGATATATAGGGAACGCAAGTCCAATGTGCATCGACTACATCTACAATTTTCGCTAAATGCTTCAACTTCACTACATATATTGTAGGTCAAAAATAATTGTGCTTTTGAACAGCAAGAGTGTTTCCGACCACTCTGGAACGACCTATTAAGGAAATATATCCTTAAGTCATTTATATTTTAGGTATAAACTATGCTTATTTTTCCTCGAGAATTTTAGAGGTTGATTTTACTTCTAGATAACATTACTTAGAATTATGACAGAAGTACAATTATAGTGCCAGTCAGTCAGTTACAACGTAGAACTTTGTACATACACCAGTTTGAGTCGCCATACCACATTAACACAGAAGGATGGGATTGTCAATTCAAATCCCATAGTAGTGTTGGTAGTAGAAGTATTAGTGGTAATAGAAAACGATTCGAAGATATGACTCGAGAAGTATAATTCAGTGAATTAAATTTTAAAAACAGGGAAAACATCATGAGGGATTCAGAATTCTCCAACAAACTCTGTCCTGGGCTTCGCTTCCCAGTTCTTTGCTTGAAATCAGTGAAACATTTTGGACATAGGTTGGACAACTAAGACTAGTTTCAGGAGAGCTTCTTTTATACTCCGGCCGGGAAGATATAAATACCTCACACACAGGAGTTGCACTGATACTGAGAAGACAGGCAGGCGCGGAAGATTGTGTTATGCAAATTTTCACTCTTAGTCAATTAAAAACGAAAACATTACATTGAATACTCTATTTGCACACCATCTTTGAGTCGTGACTTCCAATGCTCCATTCTTCTTCCATTCCTGTTGTTGTTTCCTTTCCTTCCTGTTGGTACTCCATTTACTTCTTGCTTTTGCTCCATTTGCTTTCCGTTTTGCTCTTCTGACCGTGAGACTTCTTTCACGTGCCTTCTTATACTACTTATATCGGTTCAGTAGATGCTACTGAAATACACAGCTTCTCCTCAACCTTATGGTTTTCCGTACTATCAGACATCACTTCAATTTCTGCTGCTTTTTGGATATCATCCCAAGCTGCCTCTGGGTGGGCGTCTCTCTCATCGTTGCCTAACTTTTTTTCTGGTTCTTAAAATATATTCTCAGCTTTGCTATCATTAAGTAGAACCCCAAATGTTTTCCTTGCGTAGTCTTTCCTACGTCCAGTAAGCCGCAGGGAAATATGCACGCGCACTAGCGCATGATCTGAATCTAACCATTTGCCCCAGAATGAGTGACAGTCTTCAATGGAGACTAGTGACACAACGCATCTGTAAAGTGCTTTTCACTATAACACAAGTAAGACCAGTCAGTCAGTTGGCCTCAGTGTAGAACTTTGTTGTGGCTGAATGACCAATCACCTCTGAGGCCTTATTTTGATTACAAGTCAGTTTTAAAACGCTTCAGTGAAATCAGCTTTGTCTTGAATTTTTATTTTCTGAACCATTATATGGAAGTATTACATCTTGAGTTTAGCATTTAGAATTTAGCACTTTAGAATTTTATTGAATGAATAATTGAGAACAAAGCATTTGTGATTATCCATGATATGTTTGATTCAATTACAATTAACTGATAAAGGAAGTAGACGGTTTTACCAAACAAATATGGTAATTCATTTTCAAACAATTCATTATAAAATGAGTACTTAACCATCCAGTTACAACTTGGATAGTCTGATTACACAACATTAAGGGTACTCGATCATCGTTTTTTCCGCATTCGATGGACCAACTTATACTCATTTGAATATATGGTATAGGTAGAACTGGGGTCTTATATTAGAAATAACAGTCTAACCAGCCATGAAATACTGAAGCATACTTCAGTTTATGAATCTATTTCTGTATAACGTCTTTTGTGGCTTCTAATAACTAGTGCTGTCTTATCTTATTACTTGTACTTTTTGATTTGTTATACCATTAGTATATAATTTTCCTCTTTTTATTTCTTCACTAAGTTATTTTGTGGTTAACTGCTTAATGCTGTATTTCTGTCATGCTATTTTCTACGGATAAAAGTTAGTGAAATACTCCAACTGACCGATATTCGATACTGATGACGTTTATTTTTTCCGAGATTAAACTCTTCCATGAATGTTGAATGTGGTCGTCAATGATTAAACCTTACACCCATTAATGTTCGTTGTAGTTAAGTTTTGGATAAACACTATAAATTATTGTTAATTCTAAATTAATTATCATCTATTGATCAACACTTCCAGTTGATATGTTTCTACTACAGAGTGTGGGTTTGTATTTCTCAGAATGTATACATTTTCTGTTAATTGTTTAACATACTTGTAAGCGAGAAATCAAGTTCCAAGGCTTCCTACTTACTAGTAATTAATCTTTAAAAAAAAAAGTGAAAAATGCATTTTTCATGTTGCATGCTACTGAATTGCTCGCACGTGACAGCATATCATATTTATGCTTAATAATTAACATTAGTTTCACTTTGTATTCGATTCCAATTTGTTTTCAGGTTGGACACATAAATTGTCATGCAACATCTACTCCTGTATGTGATTTAACAGATCTGAGTGCTATTGCACAAATGTTCGGTGAATATTTTACTTCTCAAGACAATACACCTATTGTAATCAATTCAATTAAAGGTCACCTTGGCCATTGTTTGGCTGCAGCTGGTGCCATAGAAAACGTGTATGCTGCTTTATCTGTTAACCAGAATCGAATTTGTGGAAATCTCAATTTACACAATCCTATCTCGGTTTATGAGTTGATGGAGGTTTTAAAATCTAATTCCAAATCTTCCTCCAATGCTTCCTTCACTGAAAAATGCATAGATCTGTTTAAAAACCATGTTGTACTTCCTAGACACGATGAAGTACAGATTGCATGGCCAAATAGTAATCCACATATTGTTATGATCAATTCATTTGGATTCGGTGGAACAAATGGAACTCTTCTAATTTCAGAATGGACAGATTAGCACATGTATTTTATTTTATTGTATAGATTTTATCCAATCATTTATTATTAACGATCAAGTTGTTTTAGTGCAAATAGTGCTAAGTGTTAGTTTATTTACTTATCAGATAAATCTGAAATGAAGGATATCATCAAGATACAGCCTCTAAATTTTCTTAAACTGGTTTACTTGGGTGTACGAAGAAATTTAATTATTATTTTATGCAATTAATCTCAGTCAGATTAATATTTGATGAACCAACTAATTCAATTCTACTTGTTCCTTACCAGATGGATATAACTTGATTGATCATTCATTTTACTTTGATAATTCCTCATTTGATTATGCGATTGTTTCTTCGTTATATGCATCATTTTTGATCCCATTCAAGAATTATTCATCTTGTTGTATAAATATGGTCATAGACCAAATGAATTATGTTCTACTTCATACTATATTTCATATTCCCAAGTTTTGTTTTCTATACATAGTTTATAAGTCCTAAATATATATTTTTTAACATAGTGGTTAATTGCTTGTTCAAGACAGATACTAATGCATGGTCACACGAATATAGCTACTGTCAGGGAAGTCCCACTCACTGCATTCTCGTGGCGGGGGTGTTCTCGAAATTGAGAGAATGGATAGTGAATATCCGGCGCCTGGACCGGGTCGGTGGATACAAAGTGTCGACCTAGATGAGTTAGAAAACCCTGATTCCAAATGAGCGGTATACAGGGGATAAGTGATGTATGAACCTATTATTAGCTACCATGGTACTGCATCTGATTGCGTTGCTCCACTGCCTTGTGAATTGGACCTTTCTGTTAAGAGCTTGAGGAGTGACCGTGTAAGGAAACCACTTGCCTCAGTTAAGTCACCTTGAGATTATCCGGGTAAATAGAGATTCATTGATTTGTGCAGTGCATAAACGTTTAGGTGCCCTTTTGTACCAAAAATAATTTGTTTCACTGTAATAAATTAGATGATAGATACTCATGACAATTTCATGTGAAGTAAAAGGAATTGAGTCTATCTTCGAAACGTCAGTTCGATTGCGTCCTTTGAGTACAAAACAGTACTAGAATACACAATTTATGCAATAAATGTTGCACGAAAATAAAGTATATCTGTTCACTTAAGATTTTTTGTCTAAATTTTATTTATTGTTAGATGAATTTTATTATCATTATTTCAGTCCGGACAGTGATTAATTATTGTTCACTCAAAAGTTGAAAATTATAAATACGATGCATACCTTCTTCGTAGCTAACTTTTGTTGTAATCTAATTATAAGTCGAGTAAATTATACTACAACCCTACCCATCTTCTAAAACACAATTAAGATTGAACACAATCCGAACTGACTTAAGCCATCTAGAAATAACTCAACGTCTTCAACACAATTCAATCGATAGTTGCTATTTTGATATCGTAGTTTGACAAGTCTATAACTTGTAGAAGCAACAGATTATTTATAAGTAACAGGCATTTTCGAGTTAGAAAAATGATTGTAAGACTTTGACCAGAAAGAATCGATATAATTTACGGCATTAGCTGAAGGAGGAATTAAGTGAAATCAAGAAAACACTAAGAACAATATAGGTGAAACACAGATAAATAAAATAGGCAGTTGAAATTATAAATTAATGCAATATTCCAGATTTAATAAATTATCAAGACTATTTGCTCCACTTCGAGTTGCCAATTCCTGTCTGTGATCGCCTTGTTAGTCCAAAACAACAACTCTGAGTGTCATTACAAATCTCATTTAAATATAATCTAGCTATTTGTATAGCCTAGAATACACAACAACACCTATGGTTATTTGATAAGAGCATTCAACCTTCAGCAAGCAAGTGTTATTATTAACGCGCAATGCAATATTGAGTAGACACAGTCTCAGGCTATTGTGTATAAAATAGCACAGTAAATTATTTTATCCCGGGTTTTCAAATAGCCAAGTCCCAAGATATATAGCACCTCACCGCCACAGATAGTTCAGAAGTTAGAACTTGATTCAATACCAGCAAAATTTTAACTTAATGAACTGCTAGATTAAGCCATTATGAAACACTAATTCTCTGGTTGTTAAGTTTCTGCTGACATGTATATAAAGGTCCACGACTATGAATTTATACCAACCATCAGTGACGTATCATCTGAATATGTTAAGTTCTCTCTTTTCTTTGGATAATCTTTTAATCAGATGGATGTAAATTCATGCACCTAGATGCTCTAATGGATGAACTAAGAAAAGTTTATATTTGATGAACCCAAATTCATCACTGCGGCTCTATCCGTCAGTGTTTTCTATTCATTCAACTGTTACTGACTTTGGTATTCCCCTGTAAGTATACTTCGAATGCTACATAAATCACAATTAATCCTGATTGTTTTTTTTTTGTGAATTTATTAGACTATAGGAAACTTTTAAATAGATCTGTATCATTGCCTCGAAAATTTACTGTATGGTTCTAGTCCAGTTATTTCTCAACCTTATCAATTTATTAGTTGTTATATTAATAAATGGACGCAAATAAAGTTGGCAAATTCACGATAATGCTAAATCGAGCAAAATGATCTCTACATCTTTGTCATGTTTGAAATCTCAGTTTACTAGGCCAAATAGTTCAAATGTTATTTCACCGATAACTCAAGTAACTTATCATTCTTAAGCAAATCAGTTCATACAAAAAGTTTTGTAATAAATCAGTAACGCAGTAGTCTGAATAGTGTATACAGTAATTGTAATTGTAGAAAATGTTTATTTCATATACTCATTACTTTCCAAGATCGGATAGAGAATACACCGTAAATTATGGTATTTTGTTGCGAATATCGAATATTTGTTAAATTCTAAACATCTTTCAGTCTAATCCTATGATAATTTAAAGTTAGGTAGCCAATTAGTTAATTTATTGTCTACCAATATATACCTCTTAGCAAGGGCTGCATTTCTACAATTGAAAAACTATGGGACTTCAAGACAAATATCAATCAACGCCGAAATCAGGATTTTCAATATAAATGTCTAGACAGTTCTACTGTATGGGTGGGGTGGAAACTTGGAGAACTACCAAAGCCATCATCCAGTGTTTATTGACAGTTGTCTACGCAAAATACTTCGGATTCGTTGGCCAGACACCATCAGCAACAACTTACTGTGGGAGGGAACAAACCATATTCCAGTGGAGGAGGAAATCAGGAAGAAGCGGTGGAAGTGGATAGGATACACACTACGAAAAGCACCTAACCGCGCCACAAGACAAGCCCTCACATGGAACCATCAAGGTCAAAGGAAAAGAGGAAGGTCAAGGAACACATTACGCCGAGAAATAGAGAAAGATATGAGAAGAATGAACAAAAACTGGACAGAACTGGAAAGGGAAGCCCAGGATAGAGTTGTTTGGAGAAAACTGGTCGGCGGCCTATGCTCCATTGGGGGTAACAGGCGTAAGTAAGTAAGTAAAGCCGAGGTTCAAGTCCTCTTTGGAGCATCGATTTCTTTAAACTTACTGATAGTCCTTTACATAATGACTTTGACGAAAATAATTTCATGGAATCTGACTGTCGTGGTTTCAAACTTGTGGATATCAGGCACGAACTACTAATAGCTTCTAGTTAGTCAAGACAATGGTCTCGCACTTCCTGGATCTTAAATTCTTGTAAATGCAATTTACAAAACGCAAGTATAAAAGTTATTTATAACTTGGCAGAAGTAGTTATAAAATTCAAGTTTCAAAACGTTTTACTATTTAGTTAGAATAACTTTTAAATCTAGGTTTGAAATATTACTTCAACTAACTCAACACTCCAACCTATAGGTTTGTGACTTTACCTGTGGTTAATTTTAATGAAATTGCATTCTTCATTTCTTTTATCCCTTTTTTGAGAACATATATTTATCAACGAGATTATCATACGAGTTTTAGAAAATTTCTATTGATTGAATATCATTAATGTATATAATAACACTAACAATAATAGTAATTGTTATAACAAGGTTAGCTTCAGGTCATGAAATTTTCAAGACCGAAAATTCGTCATTTTTATTGGTTTGTTTTATTAGCCAATTGTCACGAGATATTTGATCTATTTCGATATAGAGAAATGTATGTAGGAAGATTAGAGAAGAAAATAAGCATTAACCAACCAAATAGGATTAAATAACTCAACATTATCCATCTATTTATCTATTTTCTCAATAAACAATGTGTTTAGCTGGTCTTTCCCATAATTTTATCAGTGGTCAAGCTACTAACGAAAAACGATCGAAAATTTCAATATGTAAATGTATACTGTATTGTTGTATACTGTTATTTTAATTGATGAAACAAGTCATGATAATCACATGGAATTATAATGTATCAATTTAGTAAATTTTACCAATATTAATTAATCTAAGGTCATTATTTATATGCACTCCACATTTGTTCATTCTAGTGAAACAGAGACTACACTCAACATGAAAACTTTTCACTGAACATGTACACACGACTCGGAAAATTGTTAATTTTCATGTTTTAAAGAGAAGTAATGTTTGCATAAGAAAGATAGGTTGCTTAAAATGAAAAGGAACAAAATATCTAGGTAGGATAAAGAAGGCTAAATACTACACAACCTATAAAAACAGATCAGCAATATAACATTAAAATCAGAACGAAAAAGTAATAAGAAAGTATTCAAAGTGAAAATTTAAACAAAATTCCTCTCGAAATTTATTTAAGAAAATAATTGAAATGTTTAAAGAAAGAAGACTGGTGAAATAAATTATCAATTTTCGTAATATGGACACTATAAAAAATCGATCTGTTGTGATTACGATAAATTATTACACAGTTCACAAATTCAATGATCGATTTTAGAAGAATATTATGTGTTAAACTTACTTCTAAGTAAATCTAGTAGTCTACAGCTGGTGCCATGGACGTAATTTTTTTTCTAACAGAGACACCTGTTTACAAAACATGGATTTTCGCACTTAATCTTTTTTGTATACTTTTACTTTAGCTTGAAAATCAGATGTTAGTTCCATTTCCGAAGATTATCCAACCGAGAGTTAGTCAATAAAATATAGAAGTGACTAAAAATGCAAGTCCGACAGTCTAATCACATATATTAACTATATTCTTCAGAAATAATAAATGTTGATTACCTTATCGACATAACACAGGCTTAGTAAAAAGATTAGCATTATCAATTCAAAGTGATCTACATGGAACCATGTACTTACAGCCAAAATAAATCAAAATTTTCAGCAAGGAAAATAATGACGCCATTAAAATGTCAAATCTAGTTGGTAATTATGGTACCAGCCTTACTTTTTGTCGAATCTGATTCTCTTCTTCACTTTCCTGTTTGCTTCTGTGTATTCAGCTTGTGCCTTAATTTTCTCTGCTCTTGTTCGGCTGATGTTGATCGCTGCCTTCTTATTCCTGCTTTTTTGAATCTTAACAAGAGTACCAACAGAGTTCCATTCCTTGTGATGGTGCTTCTTGTGGCCCGGAACCTCCTAACATGC